GGTGCTTTCATATAAAGGACTATTATACAGTTATTAAAAGTTGTTTGAAAATATATTTATAAGAAAAGAATAAATATATATGTAAGTGGAAAAGCAAGTTTTAAAGTAGTATGCCAAGTATATACATATTTTTATAGAGAGGGCAAAAAGTCAGGAAACTTATATGCACCAAAATATTAACTATAATTCTCTTTTATTTTATTTATTTATTTTTTTAAAATGTGTTTTATTGATTTTTTACAGAGAGGAAGGGAGAGGGATAGAGAGTTAGAAACATCGATGAGAGAGAAACATCGATCAGCTGCCTCCTGCACACCTCCTGCTGGAGATGTGCCTGCAACCAAGGTACATGCCCTTGACCGGAATTGAACCTGGGACCTTTCAGTCCACAGGCCGACGCTCTACCCACTGAGCCAAACCGGTTAGGGCTTATTTTATTTTTTAATATATATTTTTATTGTTGATAGTATTTCAGATATCTCCCATTTTTTCCGCTTTTCTCCCCCACTCCCAACCCCTACCCACTCCCCACCCCCTAGGTCTTCACAGCCTTATTGCCTGTGTCCATGGGTTATGCATATCCTACATAATAAAGAGCTAATATGCAAATGGTCATCATGCCATCATGCTGTTAACGGCTCAGACACTCAACACTGGGGAGAGAGGAATGGGAACCAGCCAGGCTGCAGCCTGGGAGAGGAACAAGCTATCCACCCCGCAGTCCCAGGCACCAGCGGCTGGGGCTGTGGCCTGGGAAAGGGACAAGCCACCCGCACCACGGTCCTGGGCTCCAGCTCCCCGGGAGAGGGACAAGCCGCCCACCCCACGGTCCCGGGCTCCTGCAGCTGCAGCCTGGGCAAAGCCACCCACCCACGGTCCCTGTGGCTGTGGCCGCACCATGCAGAACTGGCCTGGGCCCTGGGTGCCTGCAACTGGCCAGAGGGAGGGAAGCCCAGGTCCTTGGTGCCTGTGACCAGCCGGAGGAGGGAATCCTGGGTCCCAGATGCGGGGCAAGGCAGAGGAGGTTAGGGGCAATCAGGCCAACAGGGGAGTAGTTAGGGGCTATCAGGCAAGCAGGGAGAGGGGTTAGGAGCAATCAGGTAGGCAGGCAGAGGGGTTAGGGGTGATTAGGCAGGCAGGCAGGCAGGCAGGCAGGCAAGCGGTTAGGAGCCAGCAGTCCTGGATTGTGAGAGGTAGTCGGACATCCCACAGGGGGTCCTGGATTGGAGAGGGTGCAGGCCAGGCTTAGGGACTCCCCTTCCCCCCCATTGCATGGATTTCATGCACCAGGCCTCTAGTAAGTATATAAGTTCTTTGGTTTATCTCTTCTTGTCCCCCCAACTCCACATTGAGGTATGTCAATCTGTTCCATGCCTCCCTGCTTCAGAGCTTATTTTGTTAGTCAATTCATTCTGTTCATTAGATTCCACAAATAAGTGAGATCTTGTGATAATTTGTCTTTCTCAGTTTGGCTTATTTCACTTAGCATAATATTTTCCAGGTCCATCCATGCTGTCCCAAAGGGTAAGAGAGTCCTCTTTTTCACAGCTGTATAGTATTCCATTAATGTAAGTGTCACACAGCTTTTTATCCATTTATCTACTAGTAATTCTCTTTTAGAGGTGGCATTATTGGAGATTTAAATTTTTCTTTTTATAATAATCATTACTAAATATTTAATTTTGTAGAGTTCTTACCAAATGCTAGGCACTGCAATTAGCATTTTACATATAACATTTGCAAAATTTGAGGTGGGTTATAGGTTTTGAGGAAGCTGTCTTCCCAAAACAAAATAAATATACACATATGAATGTACCCACTCACTGTAAGGTTAGGTCACGTTTTGGTTTATTTAGCTAAGGAAATAGGAACTTCTCAAAAGCTAGGCTTTCTCATTGAAAAGAAACTCTTGCATCCAGCCTGGGTGCTACTTTCCTTGGCCCTCAGGTCTCCTAAAGAGGGTACAACTGCTAGTGATACTGTCTGTGTCACATCAGATCTGCTAAACTCAACTCTTGGTACACTATTGCCTTTTTATATCTGGAGTCTACATCCACATTCTGGCAGAATTTATACAAACTGCCATTTCTTTGAAGGTTCATTTGCCTATAATATGTCTCTTTCTTTTTTTTTTTTACACTACAGCAACTCTGTGAAGTGAGTTTTTTTTTTTTTGTTTTTTTTTGAGAAAACTGATTAAGTAACTTAAGTAGTGAATACTTGGAGTCAGGAGGCATGTCTGACTCCTAATTAATTCTGTTTTTAACCATTAATCTGTTTTCCTATAGAGTTCTCTTTTTTTGGTAATGAATTTGTTTTATTTTTATTTTTGGAAATGGCTTAAAATCAAAGTGGAAAAATATGATATATAGAATGTTACAGTAACTCAAAGCAAGGGAAGATCAGGACGGATTAGGACAATGAAGGCAGCTTAATGGAGCAAATACATTTTGATGTAATAATTAACTTTACTTTTCAGCTCATCTGTTTGTTTATACAAGTATACACTGTTTCTATCCCCAACATGCCCAAACCAAACCTCTGATGACTGGCGGGAAGTAATTAATGTTCTGTTGTACTTTCCTGTAGATTACATTTTGGCCTCATCTTTGTTTTCTTTTTATGGCCCCCTTTTATTTTCCTTTCCTTCTCACTTTAGTATTGGGCGTTATAAATAAAACAGTTCAGCTTGGCCATTCCCATGTGGTAATACTATAGAAATTTAAAGATGGAGATGGCTAAAAGAAGTAGTAAAATTTACATTAATTATATTTTAAAGCTCATTGAAAGGAAGTAGAACTAGATAGGATCTTGAGTCTGTCTAATGAATTAACCTTACAGCATAAACTAGGGCTGATGTTCAGCCAATAATCATTGGCACAGCAATACGTGTTAAAATACTGAAGTATTTTCATACCAGCTGGTAAATAGTAAATAGAGACTGCAAAAGCAATAAAATAAATGATACATAGTCAAGATGAATGGTTTATCTTAGAAACCACACAGGCATTTAGGTTTTAAGCTGGACTGGTCACTGAAGCATGGAGCTAGGAAGTTTGCCCAAATGCCTTGTTATTTATTTCAGGATAGGAGAGCGAGACCAGGCAGGTGAACCTAATCTGTAAATCCACAAAAGGAGTGGCCAGTTGTGCCAAGGGTCCAGGCTTGCTGGTAACTGAGAAGTCTGCCACAAGACAGGGACAGAGACACTCAGGGTTCAGTCTCTCAGGTGGGCTTGAGCAGCTTTTCTTTAAGAATTGAATTAGTTATCTGTTCCTTCATAACAAATTTGATGATTTAAAACAATACATATTTATTATCTTACAATTTCTGTGCATCAGAAATATGGCTACAGTTTAGCAAGGACCTCTGCTTCAGAGTCTCTTATGAGGCTGCAATTAAGGTGGTGGCTAGGATTGTGATCTTATCTGACAGCTCAAACGGGGAAGGATTTGCTTCTTATTTACATGGTTATTGTCAGGATTCAGTTTCTTGAGTTGTGAGCCTTAATTCCCTGCTGGTAGTTGACTAGAGGCTGCTCTCAGTTCTTTGCCATGTGGGCTTCTGTATTTGCTTATTCAGAGAAAGAACCTGAGAAGAACCAGAGACTAAGTACCAGCAAAAACATACCAGCAAGATGGAAGTCATGGATTTTTATAACCTAATCTTGGAAGAGACGTACCATCACGTTTGCCTTAGTCTGTTCATTAGAAGCAAATCACTAGGTCCAGCCCATACTCAAGAGGAGCAGGTTACACATGGAATGAATACCAGGAGGTAGGGATCATTGGGAACCATTTTAAAAGCAGCCTACCACAACACACCTCCTGAAGCTAGAGGTTGGGCAGAGAGGGCCTCCTTGCTTACTGTGAAGAGAGTTGTGGTTTAGGTTATGTGCCCAGAAACCTAAGTAATGTCTAGAAGAGAGTGTGGCCCAGTAAGTGATAGTATGAGACCAAGCTCTGTTCCTTCCCCACCTTTGCAACCAGTCTCCCAGGTAAGGAAATCTCACATCAGCCTGGCCAGTGGATGCCCTTTTCAGGCCTTGCTCCCTCCCTGGCTTGGCCCACCAAGGCTCAGTTGGAGAGGCCAGCCCATCTGCCTCTAGCAGCTTTTCTACCTTCCCCCATTATTTCTGTGTGATCCTAGGGAATTTCCTATGTTCCTTTCTTTGTACTAAAAGTAAAATAGCATTTGTCCAAATGATAGGAAGTGGCCAACAGCATTCTTTTCATTATTTAATGATTACCTAATGAGCTGTGAATCCAATCTCAGCTGTCTATAATTTGAGGGAAATGCATATTAAAAAGAAAGCCCAAAACTTTTATGAGCATTCTCAAATGAATAATGAATGAGGTTAAACATTATTGCAAATCCAAATTTTTATTCAGATGTCCCAAACTCAAATTGGTATACTTTATTATCAATTTAGTGGTATCTGAAAGGGGGCAGATAAAGTAATTTATCTATTTTTATTTTATAAACCCCAATCTTTATGGATTTAGGGTATTGTAGAGCAAGACCAAAGTGATTATATATCTGATAGCAATTTTAAAAAAATTTACCCCATTGAGTACAAAGTTGAAGCTAGGAAAGTTCTTGATTTTAGTTAAAATATATACATAATTTATCTTTTTTTATATTTTTTAATGTCTTGACCAAATATTTGATTAAAATTAAGTTTTTTCCATGTACATTTTAAATCTCGGAAAATAACTTTCTCTCTCTCTGGACCATGGTTCATGTTTTTCTTTTCTACATTTCTCTAAAATTTTCATAATGGATAGTTCTATCTTTTCTTATAAGACCAAAACATGTTATTAAAAATAAACTTAATAGACCACTTTCTATTCATAGCAGAATGACCTATGAAAAGTAGAACTTAAGTATACTCTCTGAAATGAGTTTCTTCTAATACAGAATATACTAATTTTATTTTTATTTATATTTTTAAAATTTGATTTTTAGACAGAGGAGGAACATCAATTGGTTGCATCTTGCATGCGCCTGACCAGGGATTGAACCCACAACCTAGGTATGTGCCCTGAATGGGTATTGAACCTGCCACCCTTTGGTGCATGGGATGACACTCCAACCAATTGAGCCACACTGGCCAGGGGAGTGTATGCTAATTTCAAAAGCTGCTGTTCTCTTTTTTTAAAAAAAATATTTTTATTGTTGATAGCATCTCAGAAAAGCTGCTTTTCTTAAATTTCCTTTAGGAATACCTTTCTTTCAAGACTTGGGCTGTTGATAGAGCAGATCTTTTTCTAATGAATTTTTTCATTCTGTTTTTTTCTTTGTCTCTAGCACACAGGATGAAAATTGACTGAATTCTCAGCTTGTTGTAGCTTTCATGAACACTAGATGGCACTCTTGCTCAACTGAAATCTAGTTTCTCAATCATATTTTAGTGCTGTGGGCCTTAGAAGAATTGAGTATGCAACTTAAAAATGCTTATGTTTCCATTTTGTTTTAAAGAAGGGAATTTGGGGAGAAAGAGGAAGTTTCCAAGTGTAAATAGCAGAGCTTAACTGGTTCAATTTTTCCATTCATCCAAAAATCACCATGTTAATAATGATACCAGTCATTTATTCCACAAACATTTATTATGCACTTACTATCTTTAGGCACTGTTCTTGGCATTACATACATCAGTGGGCAAAGGGATAAAAATCTCTACCCTCATAGATCCTATATTCCAGTGCTTGGATTTTTCCCCCCAGGTGCCATTCTAAGCTCATACTTGCATCATCCATTAACTTACCCATTTAATAAGAAGCCAAAGCACAGAAAAGTTATCTAACTTGCCCCTGTTCACCTAGTTAATGTAGGTGTAAGAGCTGGGATTCAAAGTGAGGCATTTGGTCTCTGGAGTTCTAGTAATCTCAATACTGTACTGCCTCTCAAAAACTGAAGAATATTTTATTATTGATTCTGTTGGATGCAAATAATAAAGTCACCTATCTTACCTAATAATAGACAGACATGCAAATTGTACCTTCACTACGCCTTAAGCCACGCCCACCAGCCAATCAGAGCGACTATATGCAAATTAACCCAACCAAGATGGCAGCCAGCAGCCACGGAGCTGGAGCAAGCAGAAGGCTTGGTTGCCCCAATAATGGAGGAAGCCAAACTTCCAGGTGGGCTCAGAGCTCCACTCAAAGCAACAAAGTTTCAATTATAGAAGACAAATAAACCCCAGATACCTGCTTCCAGCCGGCCGCAAGCAGGAGGCTTGGTTGCCCCAGCGATGGAAGAAGCCAAGCTTTCCAGCTGGCTGCTGCCTCCTCTCAACGCAACAAAGTTTCAATTATAGAAGGTAAATAAACCCCAGATACCTGCTTCCAGTTGCCATGGACATGGAGCTGGAGCGAATTTAAAAAAAAAAACAAATAAAGGAAAGGCTGGGAGCTTCGGTCGCAGGGGGGCTTGGTCAATCTGAAAACAGACTCTTATTTATTTAATTTTGATTCTGTCTGCTCCATGAACACAGAAACTTTTTCTTGTTCATTGCTGAGCTCTCTAGGCCAGTGTTAGCACATACAAACAGATGTTCAATAAATATTTAAGTAGATGAATAAATGTTAGCTATGTTTATTACTTGGCAATTTCTGTCCACCCCCAGCCTAGACCAGCTGATTCAGCTTTTTAAATGAGAAAGTCTCTTTTCTTAGCTGGAGTAGCTGAAATCATAGCTTCAAGAGGAGTATCAATCTCTTATAGGACCTCTCTACTCAAGCTGTGGCCCGCAGACCAGCAGCATCTGCATCACATAGGAGGTTGTTAGAAATTCAGAATCTCAGGCCTCACCCCAATCCTACTGAATCAGACTTGAATCCCCAGGTGACTAGTGTACATTATAGTTTGAGAAGCACCACATCGACCACTTTAAGGATTTTGGATTTTATCCTAACAGTACTAGAGAGCCACTAAAATACTTTAGGTTAGAGATTACATTATCAGATTTGTGATTTTTAAATGATCACTCTTGTGCTGGAAGCAGTTGTCTCTGGGAAGAGAAGGCTTTTGGCTGGGGACACAGATGGGACTGAGGCTTTTCACTATATGTTTTCCAAGGCCTACTCTGATATGGTGGGCCCTGGCCAGCATGTGGCCTGTCCACCCTGTCCTTCCACCTCAACTCTACTCTCAGTCCTATTCTTGAAGGATGGACATCTTGCTCTCACATCATGACTCAGTGCACACCCCACATCTAGCTACTGCTGGCCCACTTCCTGGGCCTAGAGGTGTGTCAGTGGGCTCTGTATTCCGTCAACGGGAAGAGCCCAAGCACAGGTCCTGGGAGTGGGTTTAGCCCATTTGGGCAGAGACTCCCAGGGTTCAAGTACTAGTACATGGTCTGAGTGGGTATATGCCCTAGGCTCTGTGGACTCTTCACCTGTTGAAGAGATGCAGTTGGAAGAGGCCTAGAGCGGGTCCTCTAAAGTACAGGTACCCCATTGTCAGGGTCTCAGGGATGTAATGCCGTTTTCACCTTCTACTTGAAAATCATTGAATGTATTTTGTCGATGTGAATTTTATTCCCTACATAAAATAAATAAAATGGGACATTAAATTATAACAAAATTACATTGGCTTCTGCGTGGAAATGGATAGGAGGGCTACAACAATGGAAACCCAATTGAAAGGCTATTGCAGTGTTTCAGCAGTAATTGATACAATGCTTGGACTAGCATGATAGTAACAAAAATGCAGTTTCAACTAGTTTTTCATTTGTGTTTCACTGCTATGTTGTTTAGATTGTATAAACTCTCTCTCTTTTTTTTAAGAGTGTGTGGGAATTAAGCCTTCTGGTCCTGAATATTTGAAAGCATTTTTCTTTGCCTTCAGGTTCTAATATAGTTCACTAGAATTTTAGGTTAAAATCATTTTCTCTCAGAACTGTGAAAACTTAATTACACTATTTTCTAGCATATAGTGTTTATAGCAAGAAGTCTTACGATACACTGAATCTCATTCTTTTTTTTATAAAATTTGTTTTTTGTTTGTTTTATTTTATCTCTCTCTGGGAGCCTTGTGGGTTTGTTGTTGTTCTCCATTTTTTTAAACCTTTTGAACAGTTCAAAGAATAATACAGTCAATACCACATATTCTTCACCTAGATCAGCCATGGGCAAACTACGGCCCGCGGGCCAGATCCGGTCCGTTTGAAATGAATAAAACTATTGAAAAAAAAGACCGTACCCTTTTATGTAATGATGTTTACTTTGAATTTATATTAGTTCACACAAACACTCCATCCATGCTTTTGTTCCGGCCCTCCGGTTCAGTTTAAGAACCCATTGTGGCCCGCAAGTCAAAAAGTTTGCCCACCCCTGACCTAGATTCACATACTAACATTTTGCCATAATGGCTTTCTCTAATCGTTTTCTTTCCTTTTGCTGAATCTTTTGAAAGTTATAAGCACTTCACCCCTAAATACTTTATCATGTATTTCTTAAGAACAAGGACACTCTGGGAGTTTAAGATGTTTTTATTTATCCTTAGAATTTTGAAATTTTATGAGTATATGTCAGATTGTGTATCTTTCCCCATCTAACTTTTATTAATCCTTTACACTTGTGCTTGCTTCTCCTTCAGTTAGGAAACTACAGCAAAGGCTCTAGGGAGAAAGAGATATGGATCGAAATTGTAGGTTTGTGTCGTTATATTATTAGTTTATAATATATTAAGCCAAAAATCAAGATACAGGATCTAAGACAGGATTACCTGTCAATATGAATATTAATTTGAGTGAATTAATTTAAATGCAAAATCAGGATTTCTAGAGTTTTATAACTTTACCTTTCACTATGTATATACTAGTAATTCTTTTACCCATCCTAACCATGTCTCTTTCAAAATCTAAGGTACAATTTTCATTCTTACCTACTTCAGGTTCTTACCTTACATTAGGCTAAAAGGATTAGCTTTACACTAAAATTATTGATAGAATTTTGTGTTGTAGTAGATAAAAGATATTACTATATTTTAAAGGAAATATATTTTATTTTTAAGTTTTATATTTTTCTGTCTTTAGTAAATGGGCAATATTTTGTGACACTGAAAATACTATTATCACTCTGTCCACAAATGTCTGAAAGACAAATGTGTGATCCAGAGCTTTTTCTACACCTGAGTACACATGTATTTTATTTTTTGGCTTGAAGCTTTATCCCTGTGAGTCACAATAATCTTGGGGTTTTTTCTTTTTAAAATCCTCTTGTCACTTTATTCCATGTTTGAAGCTACTTTAGAAAGAACAACAACTCTGCTTCAGAGCTTCCTCCACATGTCTTCATAATCAACTAGAAGGAAATATGTGAGAAGCACAATTAAGTGATTTTAAAAACTAAATTAGTTATATTTTAGTTTTTTAAAAGCACAGCAGATTGTTATTACTTTTAAAATTAAATAATAACAAGAAACAGATCCCTGAAGATTGAATGAGTAAATGGCAGTAGGGAAGGAGAAATTAAATAACAACATTCATTCTTATAAAGCTGAGAAGATCATAATAAATAACAGCAATAGGGGAAAATAATCTTTTTTATAAACCTATAAGAACACCAATAATGATAATTCTCAAATATGCCTATAGTTAAAGAAAATATAACCTTATGAAAGTCAAGCTAATAGATGTGAAAATAATAGATAATTGGAAAATCCTATATAATAAAGAGGTAATATGCAAATAAACCCTCACGCCCTCACAAGATGGCTGCCTACAACCAGGCTGGCAGGGGGGACAGTTGGGGGCAATTAGGCTGGCAGGGGGGCAGTGAGGGGTGACTAGGCCAGTGGGGCGGGGGCAGTTGGAGGTGACCAGGCCAGCAGGGGGTACAGTAAGGGATGACTAGGCCATCAGGGCGGGGGGCAGTTAGGGGCAACCAGGCAGGCAGGTGAGCGATTAGGAGCCAGTGATCCAGGATTGTGAGAGGATGTCTGACTGCTGGTTTAGACCCGATCCCTGGGATCCGGCCTAAACCGGCAGTCGGACATCCCCCGAGGGGTCTCAGATTGGAGAGGGTGCAGGCTGGGCTGAGGAGACACCCCCCCACCCCGTGCACAAATTTCATGCACCGGGCCTCTAGTAGAATTATAAAGAGTTAATGAGGTATTGAATTTGGAGACTGGAGGAGGGAGATACTGAAACTAAGTGGTGTAAAATTTTTAGTGGTTGGGGTAACTATTAGGGTAAATACACCACTTATTTCATGTGTGTTATTCAAATAACACAATTTCTTTTTTTAATTATATTTTTATTGATTTCAGAGAGGAAGTAGAGGGAGAGAGAGATAGAAACATAAATGATGACAGAGGGTCATTGATCAGCTGCCTCCTGCACACCCCCTACTGGGGATCGAGCCCGCAACCCGGGCATGTGCCCGTGACTGGAATCGAACCTGGGACCCATCAGTCCAAAGGCTGACGCTCTATCCACTGAGCCAAACGAGCTGGGGCGAAATAACACAATTTCTTAATGTGAAAAGTAACCTGTACGTTGTGCTTGATGAAAGAACTAAGAGAACGTGGTAACTATTTTTATGTTTGGCAGTTTGAAGATTTGTAGACGGATGTAGAAAGTGGAAAAGAAAGGGCTCTTTGTTGTTATTTTGCCTCCTTACACCATGTAGAGATCGCTGAAGTGTTAATAGTTTATTACTACACAAATTTGCCAACATTAACGTATATTATCAGTGATGTAGACTTGTTTATGCTTGATATACGCTTTTTTCTTTCTAATATTTTATATTCTCTAAGCTGGTTAAAAGAAAAAACCTGATTATGACCTATGTTTTGATTTAGTGATGAATGATAACTGACTTTCAGATACTGCCTTTTGTTCTCAAGTACATACTGTCCTTAAATCACTTTCTATGTTGGAAATCAATTAGTATATCATGGGACAAGGTGTTGTCTATGTAGCTGAATCCATAATATATTGGGATCAAGTGACCTGTATCTCCTTTAGGTTT